AAATCCATTGATGGAATCACCACGTAACACTGTAGAAATTGCTGTCCTTAGCTGAGCCAATGTGTTCCCATTGAGCTTGCCCTAAGTATTTGGAAAAACACAATCCCCATAGAGCTCAAATCACCGATAAATATCCCTGATGAAGTATAAATTCGAAAGTATTTTTTTGCTACCAAAGGTCGCCATTCCTGCATCAGTTGTCAGATCCATTGGGTTTTGGCGGCCCTTTTCCGCTGACATGTACATTATGTCCAATTTAGCAGTCTTGAAGCCCCCATAGTCAAACATTCTGGTGGCCTCTGCCTGACCGGCGAAGAACTCCATCCATTGGATAGATCCATTGTCCTGCATGACAGAGACATAAAAGGGCAACCACATAGTTTCAAATCAACTAAAAAGTTTTGAACCCTTTCATCGTGTTGAAACCGATTTCGCAGACCCAAGCCAATCCTCCACACTGGGATCCAACGGCACGCTCGTCCATATAGTCAACAAAGTAGCAAGGACCAGTACCTAAGATCAATGACACGATTATTGACAGCTACAAGATTTGTTCATTGATCAGAACCTTCAAGAAACTGATATACCCTATCCAAAGCAGCCACATGCACATATAAAAATACAGATAGGCTACCTTCGGTGCTCCAAATGTCTTAAGCCGACAGCAGAGCTCATCCACAAAACGTTTCGAAAATTTCATGGCAGGGACCGGAGCAGAGCTGGAGGATAGAAAACATTGACACCATACAGGATATCACAGGGTCATACAAGGTTAGCCACATACTTTCTGTTTGTGTAATGCATACATCCCTTTCTTCCAGGTCCAGTCTGTTCATGTTTCCCAAATGGCTGCGCAGCTGCCTGGAGGTAAACACTGTCAGAGCTGGAGAGCAAACATCACACACTCTTGTGTCTAGGCTGCGTTCGTTAGTATTGCCATTGTTTTCATAGATTCGGGACGTGAGGAATTGTATGATTTTGGATTGATTTCTTCTTTTATCACCCACAAGTGGTCACCAAGAAAGCAAACAGTCCATCCTGTTGATGCCAACCGTCAAGTCAGAACTCAGTTTCTTGGAACCAATCGGAAAGGATCTCATGTTCTTGAAATAGGTTGGGTTGTACGCCCCAAGATAAATATGCTGAAATCTTGGACCCTCCCTCTCTCTCACACTCTTTCAGTTTTTTAATGCACATGTAGAAACATGCCGAGCTGACTGCAATCATCCTCCAAAAGACCCCGCTTGGCTGCCCATTTGTTGCCTGCTAGCCGAGGCATGTTCGTCGGGCCTCGGCGATTGGGCAAGCAGCAGTTTATCGGGTCCACTGGTTGCATTGGGATGGGATCGGTGGTAAACGGATGGGAATGAAAAATATTTGATGAAACAGGTATTTGTTTTCAGAAACCTTTGGCGAAAGACTCTGCTGGGATTGATGGTGCGAGAACCGAGAACGTAAACTTTTTCCTTCAGCGCCGATCATCCTGTGAGGTTTACCCCACAGCCCTAGTGCACTCAATCAGCCACCCAGGGTCCCGTGGCACCCACCATCACAGGTAATGGGTATGAGCCACAACATACAGGCACGTGGTTGGGTCACCACATGAACAAAAATGAAACCAAAAAAATTGTTTGGATCACAAAAACCAAGAAACCAAAAGAGACAAAGTGATCAAATTGAAGATTCACAATGCAATGATGTGCCAGTTCCAAACCCTAGCCTGTATACCCCAATCGGTCCCCAGCTAAGGCATCTTGACCGCTGAACTGCGTTCATCCCTTCGTGGGTGTTGGAGCTTCTGCCGCATTGATTCGATACAAAACGGGTTGGATCGCTTTGAAGGAAAAATGAATATAGATGATGGCAAAATAACTAAAGAATACGGGTTCTTGAACCAAATAATCACATACTTAGCAACATTAGGCCATGGAGTCATTAACTTTGTCCACCCAAAATCGTCATGGCAGTTCGCTCCCATGTGAAAAGTCTAACCTACTTCTTTGGCAAAAAGTATTGCATCACTTGGTTGGCATTGAACTTGATGTAAGACACCTGCCGCTGGAACTCAGAAGATGGTTCCTTGTAATCAGCTGTGAGCTTGTTCGGGTTGTCCTCGATCCAACCAGCCTCAGGTGAGATGGGAATAGATTGATAAGTTTCTAGTGAAGAAAAGCTTCTGGTAGTGGAATTAATGAATCAATTGGAAACCGCCCTGTATGACCCAATCCCTTTGGAATATAGTGAGTCAAACCCTGAGAGAGTATATATAAAATTGGTTTGTTGTTGGCGCTAAAAAGAATAAACAACTTGGTCCATCCATCAAATGGCAAGAAACCATCAACCACGCTGCCACATAGGCCAAAGCTAAATTCACATTCTTTGACTCACCCTTGCTGAAACCAAAGTATTCAAGGTGGGTGGAAGGTTTCCCCGTGTTGTCATCCCTCAAGACTACGGCCACTGCCTGTCGGGACCAGTAAGCTGAGAGGTAAGTCATGGGGTACATCGGACAGTCTTTCTCCTTCAGCATTTCCTTGCATTCTTCCCACTCCAACCCCACCACATTTTTGATCTTCTGAACGAAGATCCCCTGCATCATGTGATCCTTCATGTCCTGTGCCTGTTCTGCCATAGCCTGGGCGTCTTGCTTCTTGCGACGTTTGATTTCTTTCTTGATTGCCGGGGATGCCATTACTCGCTTGCTGGGGCTGGGGGTATCCTGTGCCTTGCTCTTTGCCTTGCTCTTTGCCTTGCTCTTTGGGTTGCTCTTTGGGTTGCTCTTTGCCTTCCCTTTGGCCTCAGCTTTCACTTTGGCTGCAGCCTTCTGCTCAGGTACCTTGCTCCCTGCCTTGGCCTTAGCCTTTGCTCTGGACTTTGCCTTCGGGGTTGGTGGGCCAGGTTTGGTAGAGTCGTCACTGCTCCTTTGTCCCTTTGACCTTTTCCAAGCTGCTGGCACGTAGTTGTCAAAGATCTCCTGAAGCGTTCTTTCCTCACCTGTCGTTGGGTCGATAAACTTGGTGATCGGGGTGGGCATCCCATCATTGCCATCATCGGGTTCATCGTCGGACTGGAACAGGGTCTTCTTGGGGGTTTTCACATTGTTGATTTCAGCATCTGAAGCTTCCTGTGTTTCCTCCATTGGAAAGTCATCAGAAACCTTAACCTTTTGTTCAGCCTCTTGTTGATCATCACCTTCCTCATCCATCCCTGGCTCATGTTTTTTCTTGCCCTTGCTCACCTTTGCTTTGGTCTCTGCCTTATCCTTGGCCTTCGCCTTTCCATTTGCCTTGCCTTCCCCCTTTGCCTTCTTTGCGTTGGCACGAACCTTTTTTTTTTGTGCTGGCTCTGGTTCCTCCCCATCCTCCTCCTTGGTGTCATCACATGCATCCTCTGGGTTTTCATTCTTCTGCTTCTCTTCCTTGAACTTGAGCTGGTCACGTCGCGTGAGCACCTGTAAGGGGCAAGGTAGCAAACCGAAACCACCAAATAATTTTACTTTCTACAACCAATGCCAATGAGGAACAAACCTTGGTATTTTTTTCAGCCAAAGACGGCACAACAGTGGATAGGTTATGCAGCGTGTTCCACTTTGATATATTTTTGTTTTTGGGTCAAACCAAGCCTTGCTTTCCTTTCCAACATCAGGTTCATCCTTTGGCAACCAGGTTTCATTGGGCATGGCATCGGAAAAGATATCATCCAAGTCAGGTCGGGGTTGGGTATCTGGGACCTCAAGAGAATCTGCAGCAGCCTTTGCAGCCTGAATTGCTTCCCCAGGGTTCTCCAGCGGTAAGGTCTCGTCCACATCACTTGCCACTTTGGTAGCGCCACTGCCTGACAGGCAGCAGAAGAAAACATATGTTTCTAAATGTCACATACCGTATATATTGTCCTGAGCAAAACTATATTCAAAAAGTCCATGGAAAGTGCTAAGGAAGTAAGACTTTATTTTGAACAGCCTCCTGAAAACTAAAAGGTCGTTGTTTCAGAGTGCCATGTGCCAAAGAAACATCCCACTCTATGGTCTCCTGTCCGTGTTAGACCTTGCCTCAGAAACTAAGTGAAGAAATCAGACCAGTGGAAACTATACATGACCATACCAAGTTTTTGAGGGAACAAACATATGGTGCGATTATTACACAAATATCCAGAACCCCTGTTCGAGTCAATCCCCTGGGGCCTGATGATCCGATCGAACTTGAAGCACCCGATAAAGGCTTACTCCTCAAGTGTCGAGCTTTTTGTATGGAACAAACATGAACAAACACACTGGAAAACAAATGGTGGGGAATCAAAGTGTTGAACCTGAATGAGAAAGCCAGTATTATCAATTATTTCAAGGCACTGCGTGAGGTATGCAAACTATAAACCTATTATAATTCATGTATGGTGACCTGGGATATTATACTGATTATGTTTTGAACTTGGTTCCTTTTTTAAAATTCCACTTGATAACGTACTGACACGATAATGCACTGCGACTGATGATCTAAGGATGTGGCTCATTCGCCAGCCGCTGCTGCTCAAGAAGCGCCTTCTTCTTGGCAATCATCGCCTTCACCTCCTTCAGTCTCTCGCAGATACCTTGGGACAAGGGCTGATGTGGCAGTGGGGATTGGTACCTAAGTTCTTGGGAATTTAATTTAAGATGCTTTAAACTTTAGAGTAACCATGTATGTAACACTGAATTCTCCTTATTGTAAGATCGACATAAACATAGACTTGAATTCCATTGAAAGTCACATGGGTTCTTGAAGCACTTGCATCCAGCAACCATTGGCGGGGCGGGTGGTGGCATAGAAACATCCGATGATCCACCTTTCACACCACTGCCCGATGGCATAGAAACATCCGATGATCTACCTTTGGTTGAACCACTGCCCGATGAACTAGGAACAGGAGATGGCCTGGCAGGGCTCCCCTGAACCAACCAACGCTTAAACTCCACAAAATCTTCCTGGGACTGGCGATCTTCATCCTCAAAGTTTTCATCAATCTCATCACCACCCGGCGAGCCAGTGCTCTTGGATGACTTGGCGGTCTCCATGTAGTTGTCGATGTAGTCCTGTACGTTTGTGGGCAATGAGATCTTTCCATTGTCTCCCAAAAACAATGACAAAGGAAAGGAGAGACCTAAGCAACCTGTATGCACGTATATGTTCAAGGATGTTCAAAGTATCAAAGAATTCGTCAGACCGGATGGTTTGGAACCCCTCCCAATCCTTGATCGATGGGTCCAGCAGTAGGAGAAGCTGATGAAATCGGACATCCTGACAGGGCACCCAAGTCAATAGGAACAGATCCATGCATATTTCTTAAAGCAATGCATGTCCCCTTGATGTGGATCTGGGCTCACATGTGTAAAATGTGTAAATTTTGAAAGATGTACACGCAAATTACAAATATTGTAGACAATATCCCTTAAGATATGTCTTAATTCTAAACTAAACCATACTATTATGTAAATGTTCATGGCAAGCACCATGGTTCACCAACCCTTGGCCCGATTCCTTCGTGACTTCCTTGCGCCGCACACGTCTTTTGATGAAAGATAGCAACTTCTTCAGTTCCACTGCCGGGGCGTAAACCCCTTTGTCACCGATTCTGACTCCTAGTTTCTCAGACAACAAAGCCAATTCGATTTGAAGGGGATCCAAGTGCGGCAAATGCCATGCAGGGGTTCGGGACAACTTGTGAAGCAAAGGGCGAAGCATGTGTTCATTCTGAACACAATTGGAGCGAGTGGGCTCACAAACTTTGGCACCTTCTGGGTAGACCAGAAGCTTTTGGTTCTTCCTAACCAGGGAACGCACATCAGGGGTTTGTTCCCAAGACAGCGCCATACCTGTGCAGTCCATGTTGCACCAAGTTGCACTGCTGAAACACTGCAAAAAGAATTGGGCCAAAACGGCTATGGGTTTTACAAAATAAAAGCTGTCGTGACGAAGGGTCCCGCAGATAGATCACAATATCATAGTTCCTGTCCTAATCCCATACAACCATATCAAAAATTGAATATCCAACCCGATGTAAAGAAAACCCACAGGTCATGCCTTTCCTGTGGGGCCTGGTTTGTGCATCCAAGGCTGCAAGCAGCCAACCAAAGACTTGTCACCGCCTGCCCAGCAGTAAAAAAAATTGGGGATCCCAGCTGCGCAGGGCGATGCCCACATAGGGAAGGGCGATGTTGTCGCCACATGGAGGCCATGGAAGGCAAGGGGACAGGCCAAAGCAGGTGATAGATCAAAATTTCATTGACGATTGAATTCAGAGATATGGTCCATTACAAATTCAGGTATGGGTAGTGGGACCCCTCCTTGATTGTTCCAGTAAGTAACTTAGGGTCATCATAAAGTAAGCCCAACAAATTCCTGAGGTTCCTATCTTGGGGTCATATCAAATAATATTTGCTTATGATTTTGATTTCCATTGATCAAGTGCTTTCTTTCATCCGATGGGGCGCAGATGCTAGCAGAATCAACTTCATAAAGAACCACAAAGCCTCAGTGGAACCATACATGATGTTGTTGAAATATGCTAAATGAATCATAAATCATCATAAATCATCATAAAACCAGTATATGGGAAATAACCAGGTTTTTTAAAAATAACCAGGTTTTTTGGAATTACGCAGGAAAACCCGGTAATTTGTTTTCAACCCACAAAATTTTGGGTTTTGGATTCAGTAGGTATATATAACATGATATACGAATATAATATACATATATATTAATATATGATATACTTTCGAACTGTTCCCCAAACCAATGTCTTGGGTCGAGTAAACAAGTCTTACCAAGGTCTGCTCCCACAGATTCACTGCCAGCTGAGTAAATGATGGAAACAGTTCTCGATGCGCCTTGGCCGATGCAAAAAAACTGTGGGCAGAACTGATCCGATACATGTTGCTATGCCAAGGTGGAGCACGTGCTGTTTTTTTTCTTTATGATCTGCTTGTGGCACGAAGTGGCATTTCCCAACCTTCTGTTTTTTGTGGATGTCCCAATGCCTGGCCAAGGTCTTCTCTGTCCACGGACCGATCATAATGTTGTCCTTCGGCTTGAGCGGAGAGAAAGGTGGAGCTGAGGTACAACAGGACGCTTGCACCAAGTCAAGGTGAGAGCAACATGCACAAAAGGGCTATACAAAATTGGCGGATTGGTTGCACTAAACGATGCCCAACTTCGAGAAAAATCAGCACTTTGGTGCCTTTTACTCCCTCAAGAGCGGCGCCGCTGGTGAACGTGACAGATCCATGGCTTGAACGCAAGTGGCGCAAGATGCGCGACTGGCACAGTGCTGCAAATGGTACTCGTAGGATCATTTGAGAAATATGAGAAATCGTGCTGCGTAGCGAAAGGCTGCAGGGCTTGTACGGAGGAATAACCATAAGGATGTGAAAAGATGTAAAAATTATAGAGTCGGGTAGAGCATGAGAGAAGACCGAAATTTTGAAGCCTTGATAGTTTTGGAGAATTTTTGAGAACTTGGTGCAGGCGGTCTTCGTGAGCACTCCGAAACTCATTCAGAGCGCCTTGAAGCTGGCGGGGTGATGGAATTGGGAACGGGGACCTGCTTGTGGAACTAGGAACTGGTTTCAATATGTTTCAATAGGATGGCATGGCAATGCATATTCCATGACATTCCATGACATTTCATGAAGTTCATTGCAACATTTGCTGCATGTCAGTGGATGTCAGTGGATATCCATGGCGTCCTGTTTGATGTCATTTTGTTTCAGGAGAAAGGCCGGAAGCTCTCCCAGGCTGGGGGAAGTTACAGATGGTCCTATCATGACCTATCCAAATGCGTGCAGAAATGCTTTAGTGCGATCCTGTTCAAATATTTAATGGGATTTAATGGGAAAGGGGATTTATATAATAGGATTTCATCTAATCTGTTGAGTCATGTTCAGTCACAGAGTTCCACCAGGATTCCAACACTATCGCTGCTATCGCTGTACAGGCGAATGCTTCGAAGGCTTCGAAGGCTTCTACAGTGATGCTGAAGTTCCTGGTGGACCGTTACAGCTCATTCCTGCGTGCACAAGAAACATTGGAGGCTGGTCACGGCTGGTCAAGATTATTCATAACATAAAATATAAATAAATTTAACATAACATTATATATGTTTTTGAAGAATTACAGGTGGCTTTTTGCATTCTCTTCTCCAGATCTCCTTATGTCTCCTTGGTTCATCTTGGTTCATCTTGGTTCATCTTCATTCTTTTCGGTTTTTGATCCTTTTCTTGATCATCGTATTGGTCGTCTTCATGCGAGTTCTCGTGGCATGTCTCAAGTCTGGCGAGGCCATTGCTCAGAGCTTTCCTGCAAAGGCATCGCCCCGTCGCGTAGTGACCGTAGCGCCAAAGACATATAAGTTTTTATCAATTCATAGGGAATGCTAGAGCCACTTTGAGCCACTTTGAGCCACTTTGAGCCACTTTGAGCCACTTTGACACTTCCTGACATCTTCCTGACATCTTCCTGACACCAGAATCCTGGGGCATAGGTTTTCGTGTTGTCACAGGATTCGTCGAGCCAACAGTCCAATGCACTGGACTCGTCAGGGCGATCGATTGATCTCCTCTTGGACGAATTTTGCAGCGGGCTCGGGCGTGGACACGTCGGACACTTTCCGTAGAAATTTCTGTGGAGATTTGTCGCAGCCAAGGCCCACTCAGCTGTTGATGACATGTCACAGTTCAAGGCACTGGCTTTACGGCTGGAGGGGCTGTGCCGCTTGTCACCTTTGAAAAACACAGATCTGAAAAACGAACTGTCCGAACTCAGCAGATGTCATTGTTGTTTCTTGTCAGACCGGCGAGGGCCGACGATTGTTTTCATACGTGACGAGCTGAGCCATGCACCAGTCCTAGGGTACCATGGATCCAAGTGACAAGCGTCGCAGTTTCTGTCAATCTTCCACTAAGGGCAATAGAGGATTCGACAGGCAAGGAGGGACATTTATGGGACGGGGTGGGTTGGCCTAGAAAAACACAATTTTTCGTGCTGCTAGCTGCTCCACCAGCTTGGAGAGAGTCAGGAAATGTCAGGAAATGAGTATAAACTATTGAGAATTATTGAGAATTATTGAGACATATTGAGACTATTGGTTTGTTTTGTTTTCTAGTTGCATCGGAGTGTTCGTTTGCATGGTTTAAAATATCCCTGCAAATCATCTGACATACCATCCTTCATTTTTGTTGTCGTATGCTGTCCTCATCTTGGACTAGCATTGTGTAAGAAAAAATAGAAAAATGCAGCAGACAGGACTGGACCGAAGGCACGTGCCAATCCGAACCAAAACAAATTACAAGGCGCTAGGTGAAAACCATTGAAAATCGTCAGAGGACTAAAAAAGGAGAATTCTCCACAGATTTGACAGACAATGATAGAGGAATCGAAGGCACGGGGAACATCTGAGGCTGTGCCCAACTGCAACAAGTCCTGAGAGGACATCGTTGCTTCATGTTGCTTCCTAATAGAAAGATCAGAGTGTGAGAAATGCCACACAAAAAAAACATCTACCTTGGATCAATCGATAGTTTGATGCAATTTGACTTAATTTTCATACATATAAATCACTGCATGATATACTATATAATATAAATTATTATATTAAACTATATTGTACAATATACCAAAATATACCAGCCTGTCCAATGGGAAGTGAATGCGGCGCCAATATCGTTCGACCGTGAGGATGCTGTGGCAATATCTCGACCGTGACCGTGACAATGTCATCTCACAAGCTGCCGAACACCCAGATTTGTCGTGAAAGTTTGAACGTTGATCCGATGATTGGGATATGATTGGCTATATCATCTGCAGAAAAACTGCATCCATCTGCATTCATATGTTATATTCATATGCTATATCATGAAATTCGATATCTTTTTTTTTAAAAAATCTCATGATAAGTTTGTTTCTTTTTGAATCTGCCCATGTTTTTCATTTTTTCCGCTCGGCTGGAGGACTTACAGCTGGCTCTCGAGGATATGGAGAAACGTCACAATTCATCTGTGCGGTCGCCCAGGGGATTTTTGGGCCTGGAATATATATATATATATAGATAAATGATGGGAATATTTATATTTTTAGGTTTGGGATCAAAGATGATCAATGATCAATGGGATCAATGATCGACATTTGAAAAGTCTCCCCATAAAGATCATAAAGCAGGCTGTCCTGCAATGTCTTGGTTGGTTAGTCCTGTTTGGCTCAAGACATCGTTCAAAGAGTTTGCAGCATTCCCAATGACGCTTGCGCCCGCTACCAGTGCGGCTTGGCTGAAAACAGAATCTGAGGATGGAGATTGGCATGTTTTTTATGCTCTTGAAATTTTTGCTTGTAAAACAGGTTGAACCCTGAAGTCATCACTCATTTAATCTCATTTATCTCATTTTGCTCCGAAGTGGTGCAAATCTTAGCAATCTTGGCTCTTAGCCGAAGCTCTCGAAGCGAAGGAATATGACTACCTCTTCCGCATGCTGCTCATTGGGGACTCAGGCAACGCTAATTGTTCCCACGCTATCCGACTATCCCAAAGGAAAACTTCAGGAGACAGGGACGGGCAAAGGGACGATTTGGGAAATCAATTGTTCAGGTGTGGGCAAGTCCTGTTTGCTCCTTCGTTTTGCGGATGACAGCTACAACGAGAACTTTGTGGCCACTATCGGAGTTGACTTCCGAATCCGCACCATGATGATCGCTGCTCGAAGAATTTAATATAGAAAACTTTCCTTGAGTAACTTTACGTAACTTTATCATGTTACGGCGGTTGGCCTCTTCAAGCCTTTCCTTTTGATTCCAGGTAATTAATTAGTATTAATATGTATTAATATGTATTAATTATAGAACATAATTATAGTCAACAAGTCTTTGAATCAGTTGTACGATGTTGTACCCCCAGGAAGACATGATATTGTCATGATCTCATTATATCTGCCACCTGTGTCACGGTACTCAACATGCCTTCAAGGATGGGAAGCGTGCGAAGACGCAGATTTGGGACACTGCTGGACAAGAACGCTTTAGGAGCCAATGAGCAGGGACATGAGGAACAGACAAAATGCATCAATTTACATACATCAAAATGATTCAATACGCATTTATTTGGCCTAGAAAATGATGTTCACAGTGATTTTCAATCAATTCCTTGTGGAACTTGTGGACTTTGCGATGTCACCGATGTCACCGACACTTTTTTCGCAACTTGACAGCGAGTTGCCGCTGTGCAGGACCATTGCAGCGAGCTACTACCGTGGAGCCCACGGCATCATCGTGGCCTTCGATGTCACAGCAACTTGGAGCCCACGACAGCGGTCGTTTGTTGCTGTCGTAGCAGTCGTAGCATTGTCGTAGCGGCATTGGCCACCTATGGTCACCCATGGTCACCTGCAAAATGCCATCTGGTCTGGCATTCTGAATGTGCAATGATTGCAATGTTGCAAGAAGTATTATCCATAGCTTGCCTTGTTGAAATGCAATCTTCTTGTGGAAAGTCCAGTCGTTTGTGGCCGCCTTCTCTTCCATCAGGACCGGGAGTCCTTCAGAAACGTGCGGCAATGGATGCAGGACGCGGACAAGACGGAATCGAATGTCACCATTTGGAATACGGGGTCATCCAGTTTTGTCTGAAAATGAATACCTCAAATCTGGCATTTTTAAGTATGCTTAAGATGACCCATGATACATGATAAATTATGTTTTGTTTTTGGTACTTTATTTTCAGACAACCCATGCAGCATGATGTGCGTTGGTGTTCATGTTCGGTTGTTACCCCATGACGTGTCAGGAGATTGACAAGTATGCACCAGCTGTGGTGAACAAGATGCTGGTGGGCACCAAGACGGATCTGGTGTCTAAGCGCGTTGTGCCTTGAAGAATCATGGAATGGGTCGCTCTTCTGAAGACTTCTTCGATATTTTTCTAATGGCGACCCACTTTGAAATTTGCTGAGCAAATAAAGACACATGTTTTTGCCTGCGCACATTTGAATGCACATCAAAAGAATAATAAACCACGATGCCAACTGACCCTGTGACTAGGACTAGGAGCTGGGGTTCTGCCTAAAGCATGCCCGATTTCCATGGCATACAAAATTTACTGCCTGTTCATCCAATGTGTTCATGCTTAGGTCTTTGGCAGTGTTTGTTTTCTATTTCGAATTTTACTCCAAAGCCAAGAAACATCAGAGACCACATGAGGTGTCTGAGGAGGAAGCGAGGGAGCTCGCAGAAGAGCTAGGCCTACGCTACTTGGAGACCAGTGCAAAGCACGCGTGACTCAGCTGTCTGGAGGGTCTGTTGAGTCTTATTGGGTTCATGTTTCATGATGTTTCATGTGTTCTATATCATATTATATCATTGTAAGATACTTGATGGATCTTGACGGTGTGGTGTCATTTCCTACGTTGCACAAGGCACAATGTCGACGAAGCTTTTCACGCCATGGCGAAGGAGGGGGAATTCTTTGAGTCGCAGAATGTCACAGCAAATCAGCAAAGCTCGGTGTGTCAATTTCTCAGGAGGTCAAAGACCGTGTGGCACGTCAAAATCCAGACCCTTCCACTGGAACCAGGAGCTGGGGCTGGGGTCGATTCAGATGATTCAGCTGCTGAGCATGCTTCAACATGTGAAACGCGACTCATTTGGTCGGAGCATGTTTGAGGTTTTGCAAAAAGCCTCCCCTGCAAACAGGTTTGGCTGACACACAGAAGCTGTGGCAGGATTGGTATTCACTGGCCATTTGCACATTAGCATTTAGGACAATCCTTGGTCCTGGCCGACGTGTTCCTCACATTGAGTGCTGCAGATGAGAATCTGATGGTCCAACTGGACACAGCTACCCCAGTTTTGCATCCAATTGCTTCGTGATCAGGCTGAATAGCTAAGCAGCTAAGCCACACAAAGGGATGGTGGAATTCTATTCAGACTTAACAAACTTTGCCTAAGAACAATGCAGATCACATCAGATCACAGCCTGAAGATATCGAAGCTTTTGGACCTTTCCAAGGCACCCCTCTGTACAGTGCCATTTTGGCTGTTGGGGAGTGCCATTTCCATTTCCCCCATCTTTGCACCGGTGCAGCTGCAGAGTGGGACGACCCCAAGCCCAAGCATCCCAAGCGCCCAAGCCACTTTGGGACCAGAGGACGAACCTTTGTGCAGACCTGGAGTGGAAGGTACCAAGGAAATGCTGCTGCTGTGCTTGTTAGATCTGTTACAGGTTGTAGATGTCAACAGCCATGGCGGGTTCCTTTTTAGATCGTTTTAGCCAATATCTATACCTGCAATCAATGCAGAATTGCAGCTATTACAGCTCCTGTGGGGTTGGTGGCTCAAACATGCTCAAACATGCTCAAACATGCTCAAACTGCAACCAATTTCCAGTGGATGGATTGAACCTGAACCGATGATTTAGACCGGGGACCAGCATTCCTGGATGTTCCTTAGCTGTCCTTAGCTGTCCTTAGCTTCATACTCATCCCATGTGGCACAAAACATATCAAAACATCATTAAAGAACACATATAGACGATAGATGATATAGAGCTCAAGAGGATCACCTGATGTCATTTCAAGAGGCCCACTCATCACTTATCGCTCCCAATCGCTCCCATGTCGCGCGGCAACGCGTCAGACTACGACATGCTAATGAAGTTCATCGTGCTGGGTGATACAGGCACGGAATGTCCCGCAGGTTCGTGGCAGCTTCATGCGCGTTTCAAATCGTTTCAACATGTCGCAACATTGCATTCAAAAATCATTACGACTATCAGTGCAATCATCATCATTACAATCATCATTAATCATTAATCACCAGATGCCTCAGTGATTGCACACAGTGAATTGCCGAGTCAGTTGGCTGCAAGTTGGAGCCACAAAAAGGTTGAGTGCTGAACGCTTCAAGGTGTTGGCAAGTCATGTCTTCTCTTACGCTTTGCGGATGGCGTCTTCCAGGACAACTACCTCTGCAACTTGACATAGAACAGATCTGAACAGATATGACATATCATAACATATCATAACATATCATAACATATCATAGCATATCATAGCATATCATAGCATATCATAGCATATCGACATGATGTGTTAAACATGCCGTTGCTATGTTGAATGTGTCGAAGAATGGCTCCGAATGGTCTTGGTCCTTGGTGGTGCTAGGTACCATTGGAGTGGATTTTAAGCTCCGACGCCTCAATTTGGATGGCTTGAAACTTGCACTGCAATGGCGCCAAAGGCTTTTATGGTTTTCGCTTTCAATTCCGAAAGGGTTGGTGATCTTTTCATATCTTTTCTATTCTTTTCTGCTTTCCGTTCCTTTTCATTTGCAGCGTGAGGATTGCCAAAGTGCACGTTTGGGACATGGCTGGGCAACGCCGCTTTAGAGTTTGCCATCCCAACTACCAGGGCATTGGAGGCAAGAATCTGTGGATCTGTGGATGTTTGGCCTTGTACCATCGGGCAGCTCAGTGGTTGAGGTGTTGTCATCATATTCGACATCACGGACAGGGAATCCTTCAACAACGTTGTTCACTGGGCAGAGGAGAGGCATTGTTTGTGCTAGAGGCATCTTCATCGGCTGTGTTGCATGAAAAAGGCTCAGAAACGAACTTTCTCCCTTTTATGTCCCCATGCAGCTCTTTTTTGCACCCGCTGGCATGCCACAAGATCAGTGATGGAGTGCTGAATTTGCGACTAGCGCAATGTGATGGATGGATTGGAGGGGATGCAGGAAGTGCAAGACAGAGCGAGTGAGGACAGGGTGCCTTTGGCGCCTTCTGATGATGTGTCGGTGTCAGCCTGTCAGTCTGTGAGTACTTCGTGCATCGGTGTGAGATTTGGTGAGAGATTCTAAGTGTAGTGGAATAGTCGGAAAAGTCGGAAAAGTCGGAACATCGTGGAACATCGTGGAGCCCTGTATCACATCCATATCACATCCAGAACCTCACGTTGCTGTGACCAGAGTGGTATCCAGGAGATCTGTGTGATGCTGATTGGGAACAAGACGGATCTCGAGCACCGGCGCGTGGTGTCTTTTCAAGAGGCTGGAAGGGTGGGTTTCAGCCAGGGAGTGGCATGAGCGGTGCCATGCGTACGCGCAAGATGCCTTTCTGATATTTTTTTTTAAATAGTCGAAGGAAGTTTAGAAGCTATACTTCCGACAATATGGACAGTTGAAAAGCAGAGGTGAGAAGAGTCAGAAGAGAAAAGATCAGAAGAAAGAAGATGTAGATGCGCGAAAAGATAGGAAAGTCGCGATTCACTGTGTTTTTCCAATGATTTGTGGCTCCGGAGGGTCGAAAAGTAGGCTCGCTAAAGCGGCGGGTGCGGAGCCAGCTGGCCAGATGAGAGAGGAAAAATTGCACGCCGTTGTGGCGCGAAGCACATTTCCAAGTGAAAAGTGACAAAGCACTAGAGGAGCGGACCACTTTTGGAAGTTGAGATGTCAAAAAAAAAGTGCACGCCGTTGTGGCGCGAAGCACATTTGGAAGTCAAAATGTACAAAGCACACCAATGTCGGACCACTTTTGGAAGTTGAGATGTCGAAAAAGTGCACGCCGTTGTGGCGCGAAGCACATTTCCAAGTCAAAATGTACAAAACAAACCATTCTCGGACCACTTTTGGAAGTTGAGATGTCGAAAAAGTGCACGCCGTTGTGGCGCGAAGCACATTTCGAAGTCAAAATGT